CACCCCTCACATTTTCACTCATTAAAACGTTAGCCAAGTTTACTCATTAGAGACTTATGCACAGATTACATCACAATAAGAAGAGTGATTGATTTTGAAAAGAAGTATCAATTTTTTAATTTAATCGTAATGTTCATGTTTCAGCTTCTGTTGCAGAGTAGATAACATAGTTTGATCATTATAGATCTCACTATAATCTGTATGATGACTGAATTCATAAGCTGAAGTCTTTAATTCAGAGTAATGTAATAATATAAAATCATAAGCAAATAAAGCTTCTGCTTATCTGATCTAATGTCTGTTCAATTTCTTAATCATTATAAAATACTGCAGATTGGCATGATCAGATCAGGTTTAAATTAAATACTGATTTCTTTTCAGATAATATTTTCAATTTTTAAATGCTGCTACAATAATTAAAAATTCTTTATCATGAATATCATAATGCATTTTCACATCAATCAACTTTCTTAATCAGAAAGCAACTGAATATCAGCGCTTATCATTTTGCAATTGTGACAGAATAGCAGTGATTGTAAAAGTGGATGCATTAGATTCAATCTGAATACACTGAGCTGAGTCAAAATGAATTAATAGAGGAGCATATATAAAGCATGATTTGAGCTCATTGAAAGCATTTTGAGCATCTTGCATTTATATAAAAGTGGCTTTTCTTTCCCCTTTCTCGCTCTCTTTTATAAGTTTAAATAATGGGGCTTCAATGAAAGGAGAAAGACTTAATAAATCACTGATAAAAGTTAGTAAAGCTCAAAAAGAATTGAATATCTTTAATTGATTTAGATATAGATCATTTCACAATAGTGAAGATTTTGTCTGACTTCATATCAACACCATTTGTATTTTATAACACACTTCAGAAATAAGATTTTATCCACTTCAAATTCACACTTAGAGAATTTTTTTTTTTTTTTTTTTTTTTTTTTTTTTTTTTTTGAAAAAAAAAAGCCTTCCAGGCACGGCAGCGGCGGTCCCCTCAGGGAACCACACTATAGCCCCACCATGAATGGCCATACGTCGGGCCAGAAGTGGATGCGCAGCTCAGAAAAATCCTTTGCAATGAGCTGAGTCTTCTCAAGAGTTGCCACCTGGATTCTGTTTTCTCTCTCTGTGTACATAGAAATCTCTCCAGCGTAGCACGTCTCCATGCCCTTCGGGAGGCTTCTGAAACACGGGCGCTGCCCGTGTTTTCTCCGGGACGTTAAACCTATACATACATACATACATACATTAAAGAGCTTTACAAATAAATTCACATGTTTGAGACATTCTAGCATCTTAGTAACATGCACTTTATATTCCTGCTTTGAATTGAAAAATATGAAAATGTCATCCAAGTAGACAATGCAACATATATTCAATAAATCAGACAAGGCATTGTTAATATATGCTTGAAATATCTTTGAAGCATTAGCTAATTCAAATGATATAATTACATATTTAAAATATTCATATCTTGTTTTAAAAACTGTCTTTCAACAGTCTTTTACTGCTATAAGTATGCGGTGATAAGCATCTTAAAGATTCAGTTTAGTGAATATATTGACTTTTGAAAATCTATCAAATAATTCATTGATTAGAGATAGAGGGTATTGATTCTTGATGGTGATTCAATTTAACTCTTGATAGTCTACACAGAGACAGTATTTATCATCTTTCTTGAAAATAAAGAAAATTGATGCATCAGTTAAATTACTGAATGATTGTATTCATTTTTTATCTAATGCATTCTTTAAATATTCTCTTATAGCAACTAACTCACTTTCCAACGAGGTTGTATATCAGTATAAATGAAGATTGTA